AAAACTTAAGGTGATTTCTAATACTCTAGTTCTTAATCAAATAAAGTCAAATTTATGTTTTAAAATATTACTTATGTAAAATATTATTTATGTTTTTTGTTCACTTTCAATTTTATTTTAGTTTGTAGAGTTAAGTCTTTAGCAAGGTACCCACTCAAACTTCTAACTATTCACAGTTTGATGACGGTTATGTTTGTATGTTATAAAATGATGTTAATAAGGGTTGGCTGGAGGGAATCCTCTTCTACAAGGCATCCTAAAATGGTATTTAACGTAACAATAGTTCCAAGGTAAGAGGTGGCACAGAGGCTGGAATTCACGGAATGGTGGACGGGGTGGACTTGTGTCTCTCCATGGGAGTGCATCCAGGCAGAGATAACTGTTGTCAAAGAGGACCTGAGGCAGGGTATCAGAGACATGAATATCTCCACTTTCCCAGACAGCCAGTCAGCCCATAAGGCACCAGACTCCTGCGAGTTCAAGTTCAAGGTGGTCTAGGACTGTGTAACGGGTCAAATTTTATCTGGGGGTCATATTTCATGGTCATCCCAAATACTTTGATTTGTTTCACGAAAAGGCCCACGAACGCTGGACATAGTGACGTCATATGGAGGAGATGACCGTAGTTCTCAACCCTGACGCAAGGGGTAGTAGGAGAGAACGGCTCAAGAAGCATCCCGGGCAGGCAGTAGTTCTTCAGCTGTTGACGAAACGTTCACTAACTCCCTACGGAACAATATCTGAAAGTCGTATTTCAGTTTACTACACGACGAACAATATCTGGCGATAGCCGATATTTAAAATTAGGGATGGTCAAGTCTCGAAATTTCGGGAAATTTTTAATCTTGTTACACGAGACGAGATTACTTTTTGGCCGAGATTTTTATCGAGACGAGAATAAAAAAAAAAATAAATAAATAAAAAAAATTAAAAACGCCTGCAGAAAGTCAATGCAATACCCGCAATACAGGAGCGTGTTGTAGTTGCGTTTCCTTTTCGAAGGCGTTCTTATTTAATTAATTCTTTTAATGTAAATATTACTTTCATTATTTTAATAATATTACTTTAATAACATTAAGTGTAAGCAGTGTGAGGAATGTTTTATTACTATAAAAAAAGTCAAAACAAGTAACTATTTTATAAAAATTAATATTGCTTTTATTTTATGATTTATTTTATTTTAGGATAAGTTGAACTCTATCCTAACTGATATCACCATGTTTATTAATCGTAGGCATTTTTAATAAGTTAGGCGTGATTAATAAAAAAATGTTATGCTGATGTTATTTAATGAAAGATTGTAAATATTCTTGCCTATTATCATTATTTTAGTATTTAAACAGTCATCTAACAATGTTACAAAATCAGGTAAAAATTTCGAACGTGCATTTCCCGTTGTGTATGAGAAGAGAAATCTCGTCTCGAAATTTTATGAGAAATAAAAAATCTCGTCTCGTCTCGTCTCGAACTAAAAATCCTATCTCGTCCATCCCTATTTAAAATCATGACACGATACGAACACTGGTAAGTGTTGAGCAACACGATAACGCTCTATATAAACCAGTTACGTTTAATTTAATTATTTGAAGTTATAATTCATATTTCACCAATCCCGCATCTTCAAGGTGGGATTCTGCGCCCACCAGTAAGTGTAGATTCCGTCTTAAACGAGGCTTTGGGGATAACCAAGCACTATAAAAACGTTCTGTCATTTCAATTTGTGTTATAAACACCACGTTATATTGATCGACAGATTAAAATTTGTTACGAACGACTCTGGTGATTGACCGAGCTATTATTATTAGGACACGTTTTATTTTGGAGCTAACCAAGTACCGATTCACATTCTATTAAAGCCTGTAAATTATTTTGTTATATTCTTATTTACGTATTTTAATTCTAAATTCGATCTAAACGCATCCTTCGAGTGGCTGTGATGATCACTTGTTTGAGGTAAGCTAAAAGTTATTAGCATTGTTGTAATTATAATCTGAGTCTGAGCCAATAAACTCGAAATGATAATTAAAACACGTTAGAATCCTGGACTATCTCATCATAGGCTAAGCTATCTGCACAAATTTTAAGGTGTAACTAATTTTGGGTGAGACATTAATATCTTGTATTCACGAAGATGACGTGATCATCATTTGTTGTGTCCCAAACAGAATTTTACGTCACAACTGCCTCACAATAGTATCTGCTATTAGCAGCTGTAATAGAGTGATAACTCTGTTGGATCCCTTGGCACTCACGGATAGAAGAGAACAAGGTGGCTGACAAGTTGGCAAATGTGCCGTCAGCCTCAGACTTTCATGGACCACAGCCTTTCTATGGAATCTCTCAAGGTTATGCATGTCACGTTCTCAGGAGAAGATGGGTTAGGCTTCAACATCACAGGGTAAGCAAGCTCACTCTCTTTTACTCTTTTAAGACAGTCGGCTCCAATGTTCTACCATTAGACAGGAAGCAACAAAGACGGTTTAGACCATTAGTCAGGTCATGGCTTCCTGAGATTGCCTTGAAGGATCTACAATGGAGACACTGAATGATTGAAATGTGGGTAGTTAAAAAAAGACTGCAGACCATCTACTCTGTGACTGCACAGCTGTTAATGAAATAAAGGAAAGCACTCTAGGAACAATAACAAGGGACAGACACCTTCCATAGAAGGAGAGGATGCTTCAGTTTATCAACTAACTCAGGGGTTAACGGTCTTAGGCCGAGTAAAGGCGGCATTGTGCAGCATGTCACAGCGGACCTTTGGAGATAAACAGAGCAGTGTAATTGAGGACCGGGATTGGATCATCTCTATTTTTAAGGTTTGATATCAAAATTCACGGTTTCAAGTTCTTCACAGCTGAAGGATGCCTTGCTTTATGCAAATTTTTGGCAATTATACCCTCAGCCATTTACACACCAGAGCCTTCTTCTTGAGAAAGTCTGAAAATCCAGATCAATACTTCATGTTACCATACTATAAGAACAAACACGTTTATCTCCCTATAGGCAAATTGTTTTGTAAGGAATACATTTTTGTAGTTACTATTTATAAGGGAAAAAACTACAGAAACACAGTAATTACTCACCATGGCAGTGGGGGTCGTCGTAGACTAGACAAACCAGAGTTGTCTAGACATGACATTCGTCCAGCTAATAAGAGGTAATTGTCATCTCCTATGGGCGCTTGCCTGCAAACACAATACGTTAATACACAAGACTTGGTTGGAGTAGGAACAACACAGACTAATACAATATAAACATTCTTGTGTCCTACATTAAAAAATTACAATAGGAATAGCTTTTTAATTATTTAACTTTGCATGTAGCTTTGAAGGGAGCACTCTCAATCCCAAGTGTATATTCCCAGATATTAAACACTCACTTGCTGCCGTATTTAGTCTCCCGCGCCAGAGCTCGTAGGTACGCACGGTGCTCCTGCTCCAACACGATAGCTGCCTCTCTCAACGCGGTCAGAGTCTTGAAGGATGACTGCACATCTTCTATGACTGACCGAGGGAGAAAGCAGATGTCTCCAGTGTAGACTGCCTGACATTCACAATCCTCTGCAACAAACAACTTGGGGTAATCGTAGTGCTTATTATCAAGGTAACTATATGCTAATAAAGCTAAGGCTGCGGATTTTGTGTGGTTCAAGTGGTCTCCTTGCTGTACATGGGCCTTGTTTGTACGGTTCATGATTTCATATTGTAGCCTATATGCAAAGAACAGTTCTGAATTTAGTAAAAACCATAAAACTTTACCTATGTTAATATGATCAGTATAAATGATGCTCAGTTAGTATAATCACATGTAAAATTGCTCATAAGGGGAGGAATTTTAGCTAGCCTAGAGGTTGGAATCTCGAAAATTGTTGCAAGAGAACCGGGTTTGATCACTGGCATTTCATTTTTAGGGTCTTTGGCTGTTTTCCTTCAAAAGCAGGTACCGGTATTTAAACACTAAATAAGAGAATTGTGAGATTTACAGTAAACAACAATCATCACGATATTTTACTTACGCATTACTCTCTCCAGCCTGTCCATGTGAGTGATGATGAGCGAGTGGAGACGGGCCAGTTCTGTCTCGGTGTCAACATTCATCTGTAGGTCTAGACTTGACGACACTTGTGTACATCCGTCAGCCGTCTCTGACACTGCTTTACAACTGTCAAACCAACAAACATATCAATGAGTGGTGTACTCGGACAGATAAATCATCAACATCCAGAATTTCCCTTTCCTAGTTGCCATACGCTCTATAAAACTGAAATTGTGTAATCATTTTTTGTAAATTGTCCTCTATTAAATTGATACTTTTTACCATAACATTTATATTTCTTGGGAACATTAAGGTTTAAATTACAGATCCTACTCCTTGTTAAGCTACGATAAAAACATAAGCCTGTATAGTCTTTGATCATAGTTTAGCTCTTTTGAAGGTATTGTTTAACACTAATACCGAAACCCCGGTCTGACAGGCCCACGGGAATTTTCAAAAACGCATGTTGGCAACACTGTTTACTTGGTAGATTCCATTCCCCCAATACCTTCCCCCCTTTTCCTCCCCTACCTATTGATATATCATTTGTTCATTTTGCGTGGGTGCCGTGACCTTGACAGGTCGTCTGTTCATAACATGTCCGTCTCAGAAGCCCAGCGTTACTGTATTTTAAAGCGGGGTCTCACAGACTAGGGTTTCGGTTTGTGTGTTTCTAAGCGGGGTCCATTATTTTTCAAATGGGGTCTCACAGACCGGGGGTTTCGGTTAACGTCAGCCTAGGTGGGGTTTCGGTATTAGTGTTAAACAACACGCAACCAAAAAAATTCATTTATAGGTACGTAGTAAAAAGACTCAGCAAAGATCAAAAAGGAAATAATACTAATGGGAATATTTAAGATTTGTAACTATGGTCAAAACAGTTTAAGAAAGAGTTTTGAACTTTTACTGACGTTTTCAACGATCTACTCTCTGAGGAGGTCCTTAGGACAAAATAAGTGTTTTGATTGGTGACCTTTTATTGGTGTACTTAGTATTTTATTTGGTGTATAGCTCTAAACTCTATCCCTCTTCAAGAAAGAGTAATTTAAGATGAACAGAAAGGCCACGGAGCACCTTACTCACCATATCCAATGTCCGGACACGTATGCACCAGGGTGATATTTGTCCAGTCTGTGCTCATTGGTACGGCAGATCTTGGCCAGAACATCGACCCACTCCTTCTCTTCCACACAGTTACTGGCCTGAATCACAATAGACAAAACCATTACACTACGAGGCAATGAGAGAGTGCAGTATTATGTTACACTGTGCCAGTTCACTAGTGAAGCCATTAGGAGTAACTTTTTTCATGATCACCTTTCTTGGTTTTTGGTGTTTTTAAAGGGGCTTACAAAATTCAAATTATAACTTCTACAAAAATCTACCACGATGACTTTTACAATGAAATAACATTTCCATGACTTAAGAATTTTTTTATCCATTTACTTAAGTTTCAGGTAGTTTTAAATGGATAAGTTAAATCTATATATTAATTTGAAACAGTTTTTCTTTGTCACAGCTATTTTGAGAGAACGGCTGGGCGTAGAAACTCGGTAGGGGTGTCTAAAGAAAGGTCTTGGTCTGTAGATGAGCCATCAAAAGAGAAACATGGTGAATTCCCTTGGGGTTCTGCCCCCGTGGCCTTTAAATTCCAATCCCATGTTATTTTTATGGAGAAAAACGGGGTTTTTGTCACAGCTAATTTGAAAGAACGGCTGGGCCTAGAAACTTGGTAGGGGTCTCTAAAGAAAGGTCTTGGTCTGTATATGAGCCATCAAAAGAGGAAAGAGGTAAATACCCTTGGGGCTCTGCCCCAGAAGCCTTTTAAGTTGCCTCTTCAGATTTGTTTACATTACGACCATATGCATAATTATACACTACTTTCTAATGCAACAGCTGTTAATATTTAAATTGTGATTTATTGAATTTGTCAAAATGAAGTACAGTATTTGCAATGGATTTTTCTGATTTTAAAATTGATTTTCTTCTGCATCGTGTCATGTTTTGTAATATAATGTTCTATTACCAAATCAGTGGAAAATTCTAATACCAATCACACTAATTTTTGAAATTATTTCTTATGGAGTTAACTTATATCTATTGTATTGGTTGGTTTCTGCCGTTTTTACCACTTCTTGGAGATTGTACGTAGGTGATATTCGTTGGCATATTGCATCTGTAGACGAAACTTGGGTTGGTGTAATTATTACAATGGAAAAGAGCGAGAAATCCTGGACAATTTGATATAGGCTAAAAATAAAACTGAATTAACACTATGCTACATTTCATGAGCAATCATTGAAATAACCGATTTGCAAACAATGGAAACATAGAAAAAGTCATAGAACACAACCCAGTAGAAGAAATAGAAATAATGTTTTCTTTACACTAAAAACACTAAAAAAAACAAGATCAGCTTTTTGAAAAAGACAAGATATTTACAAAAGATTTTGATTATGAGGTGTAGATCGTGAGTATTTCCATAATCTTTGAGTCGCCTGTAATGCTTTGCAATTGCTCGAATTCGAGCAATAGGTAAACTAGTATTAGCGAATTTCCCATATAGGGAATAAGCTATTACCGTAGTACTCATGGTAAGACCTGGACGCGGGACCGATTTTTTTTTTCATTTTGAGGTCCCTAGAGGCCAAAAACACCATCCGTTCAAATTCATATATATATATATATATTTATATATTATTTATATATTTATATATATATATATGTGTGTCCGTTAGCACGATAACTCGAGCAAAAATGATCCGATTTTGATGAAATTTGGTACAAACGTGTAAACCTACGTTTATTCGAACGAGTTCGCGATCCAGCATGATCGGACCATGGGAACGGGGGTTTACGGGGGGTTTTATGGGTTAAAAATAGGTTTTTCCCATTTTTGACCCAAGAAACATAAAATTTAGCAATTTCTTTCCAAACCATTTTGTAGAGCTTAAAAAAACAAATAATTTAGTACATTGAAGCGTTATTATGCGCCTAATGGTTACGGAGAAAATTCCAAAAAATTTTAAATTTAAAATTCCCATGTTATTCTTATGGAGAATAAGTAAATTGTTGTAGTTTGCTTGTTTATGAACATATTTTGATCAAATTTGGAAAATGTTTTTATTTCTTACTAACTATTAACGTTTTACAAAAAAAAAAACAGTTTCACCCTCCCTGATGCAGCAAACCTAAGTACTAGTTAAACTAATTCTATTTAAATAGAGAATAAATGTTATATTTTTAAGTAGACATTTCAGTGTAAATCCAATCAGTCAAATGGAAATTCGCTTAGTCTGCAGGTTTGCTGCGGTGGGGGTATTAATTATGATACATTTATTAAACAACAGCAAAATCATGGTCTCTGGAGGATTAAAGGTGTGAGTGAAGTTGAGTAAATAATCAATGCCAAATCACCTGTAAATACAACACTCTCTGGGGTTGTACGATTTGGAACATATTGTTTTTCTTAAAAGACTCCTCCTGAACCCTCTCGACAGCCAGGATGTCTGACAAAGGTATGTTGCACAGAGGTTCTTTGCCTGAAAACATAAGCAGGAATTACTTAATATTTCAAAGCGCAAATTAGTACACACATATTCTCATTAAATCATGTATTTAACTAAACACTAAAACAAAAACTAACTAGTTACTAAACAAAAAAAGAAGGAACATACCTTTATGCTTTGAGTATGTGAGATCTTGCGTTGTCAGCCTAAAATAGCGTGCTTTGAAGTTTTTTCTACCAAACCTTTTCCTGCCTTGTGCTCGCTTGGTGAGCATCCTGAGAATTGAAACAATCTTGAGTATACATTATAATGTATTGTCAGAATCAAATGTTAGTCCAAAAAAAATCTGCAATAACATTTGTTAAAATACAATTTTTACAATAACAGTAGCCTAACTAAAAAACAAAAATTCTTCTTAACTTAATTTGTTCAATCACATTCTCGTGTACATGGTTACATTGGTTACATGGTTAGAACTCTAACCATGTATAAGGGCAGCAAACCTGCAGAATAAAGGTGTGTATTAGGCAAATGACCAGTGGATAGGAAGTCTGAAAATGGATAAATTATTAGTTGATTTTCAAAACTTTAAGATGAAATAAACTAGTTTTTTCTTATTCGAGAGTTATCTTGTTTATATTTTTTCTCAAGGAATATAAGTAACTGCATCTAAGTTAAAGTAAAGAAAAAAGCTCACACTTACCCTTCTTTAAGAACCACCGCGGAGTCTAGATTCCTTTGAGTGGGGTTAGACGTGGCAGATATTATTTCCAAAAACTAAAATATAGAAAAAAACAGTTAGTGCATAGTATAAAATGTCTGCAACAATTTAACACTCCTTTGGGCCCTGTAAATGAATTTCCCTCATCTAAACAGCCATTTAATAGAAGTTGATAAAAGTAACTTTCACAGCTACTTGAAAATTAATACAATGTTTTTGATCATAGCTAATTGATACCCATATATTTTCATTAACTGTAAAAATTCATATATTTTGCCAAGGGTACCTTTTACCTAGAGATCTGTGGATCCCCAATATTTTGGGCCGAGTGAGGCAACAGTTGGCCTGTGGAGTCAGTTTCGACCAAAAATTATTTTCAGGGTAAGGCAAGCCGAGCATATTTTCCCAAAATTTCGGAAAGCATTTGCAAAGTATGATAGAAAATCGAATGATTCGTAACAATCGCAGCTGATGTTTATGGTTTTGCCATGATCATGAGAGATGATAATTTTGCCATGGCCGCTGAAGATGTTTTCAATGTCCTCAATTTCACTGTAACTGCAGACGATGTTTTATCAGTTGGGGTTTTCATGCACTGACAAAGTTTCTAAGGTGTCAACGCAAGCAAATACTGTATGCCGCCAAGTGTTGAACACGGCTTAATTCTTCTTAAAATATATTACAAAAATTACACAAAATATCAGGTACTCCTGGTGAAATTTCCAAATTTACACACAACTGATTTCCCAGAATTCTTGGTCTGTGGCCACCCTATCCAAATGCTATGCTTTGGTCTACTGAGTGATATATTGTTTGTTTACCTGTCGTACTGCAGTGATGTGTGTGTCAGTGTAGAAGGTCTGGTACATACAAGTCATGTACTCCTCATTGCATCTCGGTGTACGGGCAGACACAAGATTACACAGTGACTGTATTGTCTTGGAGATCAACGTGAGCGTTCTGTTCGTCTGGCTGTCCTGAATAGGAAGAAATGTTGTCAGTGAGAGATTTTATGACAATTTTAAAAAAAATTTACAAATCCTTTGAGCATCGAGTCTTTTGAATTTCTTCAGAGAAAGATTCATTCCATTGCAAGTTAAGGTTATAGTCAGTTGTAGAATGAAAAATAACGCAGTTTAGTTGAGCCACTGAGAGTGCTAATTAATTACTTATCTATTTTGAATACACATACTTTTTTAACTTAGTCAAACTGAAAGGACAACTTAATTAAAACCTAAGCATCTTTTATGTTTCATAATTTCAAATCAAAACTAAGAGAGGAAAAAGAAATTTAGCAAAAACACACTCTGTGTAGACCATTCACAAATGTTCTGTATGTATGAACATTTGGTTCAGTTTAAGCACCAGATAGATATAGAATGTTTGATTATACTTCAATGATTTAGGATTTTTAAGTCTAGGTTTTAAAAGACACAACTAATTGATATACAAACGGTGTTAATTATAAGAGTTAAATTACCTTGTTAGCCTAACTTAATAGCCTATAGTGCACTATCATGAAAAAGATTAACAGTTCCTTTTTGAATTGCATTGACTAACTGAATCATATTCCATAAGCTTTATAATTTGATATCCTCCAATTTCCATTGATGGTTTCTTTAAAATTAATTGTCATTTGTTTGAAATCCCATAGTTTAAACTTAACATGCTGCGCTGTAACTTTTGGATACAGTAACAAAACCTATGTAATGAGAAAAGTTTATTCATCACTGTTAAATATATCTTCTTCATCATACTGTCCAGAAAGCAGCCATTTTTAGTTCTCTAAATCATTGTTTTCAGCTAACTTCAAATAGGGAACAGAAAAAACAAATGTTAAATTTGTTGGTTCGCTAACCTAAAATTTGTATCACTCTATTATGTAAACGCTGCTAATAACACGATATTTAATGTTATGTTTGTTTGTAAATAACAGAAATGTAAACATTGGTGACGACTTTGAATAACCTCAAATTATGTGGTCTGATTTTGTAGCCTAACGATTGGAAGGTTATTTCCACAGTATGATGAAAATAGTTGTTCATCACACAGAGCTAAATTTTCTTTTTGGTACTTGATTGTTTTTCCAAGCTTGGCTGCGCCTCACTTTTAAAACATGATTGCGTACCAAAAAGAGCCACTTTTGCTCCTAGTGATGAAAACTGCTATTTTAAATATACCCACTGAAGAATTATCAAAAACAGTAGGCCTACATCCCTAAACGGGTTTTTAAGTTATAGTTAACTTCTACAGTTATATGTTTCACTTACAATTTGCTCCGTGGTCAGATCAAACAGTCTAGGACCGAGGATGGCCGGGGCAAAGAATCTGAGGAAGATGAAACCCGACACAACGGAATACCTAACTTCCTTGTTATCTGAGAACAAAAATAGCAAAGATGACAACAATATTTAAATACAAGTTGCCCAAATCTGTCATACATTTTCAAACTGAAGGCAATCCATTCTATAAAACATAACATATATGTCAAACACTTCCATTGATTTTGCTACGGATATAATTTTAAAAAAATCATTTAGGTGAACCTTCATGCAAACATTATAAGGTGAAGAGGTATGTAAAAGGCTCATATACAAACAAAATACTACTTATCATTAGGCTAAACAATTAAACATAAACTAATAGAACAAAGAAAAAGTATTAAAAATAAAGTGTTCAGTAAAAAAGCTTAAGTGCTTTTCATAATCTGTCATAACTTACCACTTTTAAGGTTATCCTTTAGCAAGCACACAAAAAAAGAGAATTAGTTTCATAAACTCCCTTGATAAGGAATAATTACAATTAAATACACTTTTTGGCATGTATATGCATTCTTAAATACAAGGGGAAAGATGACATTAAGACAACAAATTGATAACAGTTACAATTCCAGTATCAATTTCACAATTCAAACTTTTAAGACAGATTTATTATAACTCTTAAAAACTACTTTTGTAGGCCTACTTCATGAGTAATTTTTCTAATCAATGTGTGCTATTAATGACAAAACTACACACACGTATAAAACATATGTGTGAACTATTTAAATAAACTTATGCAGGTAAATCATATAACTTTGGTATAAAAATAGGATGTTTTAAGTTTGCAGAAAATCTTTTGAAACATTTAAGATTTATTAGATTTTCCCATTGAATTTCTCCACTTTGTAAAGAGGGATGAAAACATTAAAAATAATAAAATGATGAATAATATAACGATAAAAAAATTCTATGCGTTCACTATTGATTAAAGATACATATTCGATTGTACTGCATAATTTTATAAAACTCTATTTCCTTTAGTTATAATCAGTAGTTGGTGACAGAATAAAATTAACAACTATGTCAGGGTGAAATAAAGCGAATGTAGATACTGCAAATTTAGACATTGTGGTTTATTTTTGTTGTTATGGGCAAAAAATCAGAACACTAAGTTTTCAAGGTATAAATAGGCCTTGTGACTGTGGAGTCAATCTCCACAACACTGTTTGAATGTCCCGCCAATCTCAACCCCTACCGCTGCTCGCGCATGCGCAAGGAGGCAAGCGGGTAAGACGAGTAAAAAACGTCTGTCGTGTGTCGTGCTCCTGACTGCAAACACCATGGAAGGCTAAGTTCTTGGGAAATGGGGGGACGCCCCCTTAAGGTATTGTGTCGTAGCACTAATTATTGATAATATGTAATTTCAGATCATGGTATCAATTCACTATAACATTCTTTCCATTATTAGTAATTCATCATTAAATAAAATATTAGTTCACGTTGTGTCCAGTCAACTCATACAGTAATTATTTCATAAGTTGAACAATGTACATATTTCTGTGATATAAATGCATTAATTAATGAAACAATCATCAAAGCTGGCTATTAGGGCCTGTGATTTGCGGTAAATTGTCTCCTCTGCATCAATAAATGTGTTCAGTTAACGTTTCCAACAAGAACGATTTGGTCTGGAATTTAATTCACATGACCAGGTCACCAAAATGTGGCACCATTATGCCACATGACAACCAGGTTCATAATCTACATTTGTATCAAACTTCAGCTTGGTGGTTTCAGTATTCTTTGCTTTTGTTCGGAACAAACACACAAGCAAAAACCATCCTTTACTATGTTATGTAGTTTCAGAGACTATGTATGTATAGGTTTAGGATCCATGTAAAAGTTGGTTTACTAACCAGGAAAGTGTGAGGTGGCCAACTGGCGCAGGTCGTGAAACATCTGGCACATGAGGGTCGGACATCGCAGAGCAGAGCTGGTGATGGCTTGGAATATCCTCTGTACGTACTCCTACACATACAGTGATTAGTAGCTTAATATGTGTGCAAAGATTACAAATAAATACCCCCGCTGCAGCAAACCTGACTAAGCGACTTTCCATTTGTCTGGTTGGATTTCCACTGAAATATTTCCTTAAAATTGTCACATTTGTTTCCTATATAAATTAATTTGAATGTGTACTTAGGTTTGCTGCTACAGGGAAGGTAATAAGGTATGTTTTTTTTATTGAAATATTGATGGCTTAGTATGAAATACACAAATTTGCAAAATTCCATCAAAATATATCCATAAAAAGCAAACTACATCAGTTTACTCATCCTCCATATAGGGCCCTAAGAATAACATGGGAATTTAAATTTATAATTTTTTGGAATTTTCTTTGTAACTATTAGGCACATAACAACACTTCGATATAATAAATTATTAGTTTTTTTTTAGCTCTACAAAATGGTTTGGAAATAAATTCTAAAACTTTATGATTTTAAGGTCAAAAATGGGAAAACCAATTTTTACCCCATAAAACCCCCATAAACCCCGTTCCCATAGTCTGATCATATTGGTTTACAAACTCGTTCTAATAAATGTAGGATTACACGTTTGTACCAAATTTCATCAAAATTGAATCATTTTTGTTCAAGTTATCGTGCTAACGGACACATTATATATATATATTGTAGAATAAATGTTTTCTATATGATATGAATGATATGGTTATGAGAATGAGATTTTCCGCATATCCGTCCGAGTTAGCTGCATATCAATGATTAATTTTGTTGAGGGATAGTGTACTAACATTATACACTAACACTAACACTGCACATTACTCATGAAAATAGAAATACCTTGGAAAAACACACACAACTCAATTTTTACTTTGCTTATTTTTATAATCGTATTTATAAATCCAAAGCAGTACAATTCAAATAAAATTACGTTTAACTCCTACTCAACAACAATCATGCTCAAAAATATACTCCAAAAAGTCAGAGAATTTCTGTTTTTAAATTTATCTTGAGAATTTACGATGTGCAAAAAGGGTAGAAAAGGGAAGTTTCTAGATTCCTAGGAAAGCCAGACATACTGACCAGTTTTAAAATTTAGAGGGTTTAAAAACAGCCTATATTAGGAGACACGACTGAATCTAACTGAATGTCAGTTGATTCAGGGTGTACAGTATTTACCTTGAGATTCTCCATGTTTGTCTGAATGACAGCCGGATCCTTCACTCTGGTGGGGTCGATCTCACAAGGTTTCTTCTCCGCAAACACCTGGTCCAGAGCAGGCCTCAACGTGTCGTGCAGATAATGCAGGCCTGCCAACCTCATCACTTCGTCCATCATCTTGGATACTAACGTGTTACCTCGGAATATCGTGTTGGCATCCCTAAACATCAACCATGTGTGTAAAATTAAACTACAGAAATGCTTATATCACTTTGAGTTGGGACACGCTACAGAGGCATATTTTAGCCTATATGGCAAATATGAATATAAAATGAGAATGGGATGAGTAAGAAGTCTTACATAGCTTTGTTACTAGAATAAGCTGTTTATATAGCCAGGACCATTTAAGCTCAATTATCAAGGACCAAGACACATCAAACTTCAGATTGTTAGGAGAGCACTATTCATTTTGCTAACTTCAAAACTGCAATAATGAATATGGAGTTGAATTTACAAAGAATTTACAAATAACACTTAAGCAATTCCAAAGTAAAAATCAGAGTTGTACGTTTTAAGTGTCAAATGTGCGTTTAAATTAACATATGGCATAAGCAGATTAAATGTATTTGTTTCACTGAAATGTTTGAACATAGCAATGAGCTAAAACATGTGATCCAGATTGCTACTTTTAGAATTGTTGATGAGGTAGGCCTACTTGGAAATTCATTATGTCTAAGGTCGAAAATGTTTACTTTAGATGGCATAATTTGTTGAAAAACCAATTACGAATGACATTTAGATCTACTATCGACCCCTTTGGGGATAGAATGTTTAAGATATAAGACACGATAACTCACGTCACTTTGGATATCTCCCACTTGGCCAGTGTTCGCATGATGGGGACTATCTGACCATGATGAAGCAGTATCCTGACCAGGGGTTGGGCAGCATCTACCTTACAAGGGATGATCTCACCCAGCAGGTAACATGCACTGGATGTCACAGGCTGTAACAGACACGTTGGTGGCTATTACCTAATTCTATGGCTGACCCTACAAATATTGAGTTAAATCTTAAGATCTTGAGTTTGTTGATAGGACTGCTAACCAACAGGTTAATCTTTTGTCATAGTTTCATCATTTTCATCACTTTAACTTGATGACATACCTGCACTGTATGACTCTGCAATATCATCCTGCGCAGGTCGTTGTACTTGTGACTGGGGAACACATGGTCAACAGTGTAGTATATCTTGAGTCTGAGGGAGCTCTGTAGACCCTCGTCTAGGTAGGAGACACCCTTGTGTGGTTGTAGGAAATACCTGTCACAACACACCGAGGTTTAAATCACGGGATACATTTTCCACTAAATACTTAGGTTAGGCTAGGTCAAAAAATCAACATGGTCCTAACCAACTGTTGTTTCCTTACTACATGTCCTGTGTACTCACCAAGCGTTATTGGTCGCATGGGTCTGTGCCTGGAGACCAGAGAGGGCCACCCTCACCTCCCCCAGGAACACATTGTTGCCTGGAGCGTCATGATACAACGTCACTACCAGCTCTGCCCACTCCGCCATGCTGTGACGTGGGTCGTTGGTGTTCAGCTAAACATAATATTGTGGTTAGGAAACTCTTCGGTAAGGCAGTTTTACCTACATTACTACAATGTGTTCAATGCATGTTTTTACTTCTGACACAACCTTCGATCTAATGATTTTTATGTCCAAATTACGATACAAGGTATCTACCATGTTTTTAAAAATATAAGATTTTGACTATTTTTTAAACATGAGGGGTTTTTGACCCCAATCAACCTCATTTCCATATACTTTCTTCAACTGGTAGAGATTCTAAAGATTAAAATTCAGTTGTATAATTAACACCTTACCATTAGGTAATTCAACAGTATTTTGACATAAGAATAAATACCCCCGCCGCAGCAAACCTGCAGACTAAGCGAATTTCAACTTGTCTGATTACATTTTTACTCAAATATTTCCATAAATAAGACATATTTATTCCCTATTTAAATAACATTAAATTTAACAAGTGCTTAGGTTTGCTGCTACGGGGAAGGTAAAAAGTGTTTTTTGACCATACGTGAATAGTATGGGATGAAATAAATAAATTTGCCAAATTTTATCAATATTTATCCATAAACAAGTAAACTAAAACAATTTTTATTTTCTCCATAAGAATAACATAGGAATTTTAAATTAAACTATTTTTGAATTTTCTCCGTGACCGTTAGGCATACAACAGTGCTTCAATATACTAGGTAAATTATTTCTTTATTTAAGCTCTACAAAACGGTTTAGAAATAAATTGCTAAATTTTTTGTTTTTAGGGTAAAAAATGGGAAAAACACATTTTTACCCCATAAAACCCCCCATAAACCCCTGTTCCGATTATGCTGGATCGCGAACTCGTTCGAATAAACGTAGGTTTACACGTTTGTACCAAATTTCATCAAAATCGTATCATTTTTGCTCGAGTTATCGCGCTAACGGACACATATATATATATATATATATATATATAAATATATATATATATGAATTTGAACGGATGGTGTTTTTGGCCTCTAGGGACCTCAAAATGAAAAAAAAATCGGTCCCGCGTCCAGGTCTTACCATGAGTACTACGGTAATAGCTTATTCCCTATATGGGAAATTCGCTAAAATATTGTATAATAGTATTATTAATGACCTTAGCATATAACCTTTGATAGTAACAGTCAACCATTCATTTTCTGAAGATTTTCCCTGATCAACAAGGCCAGTACCTCAAATTACATGTAAGTCAATTTGACATGGCTTTACCCCGAAGGCCACATTATTGTACTTTAGTATGGATGTGGAAGCCTTACTTCTAATTTGTAAACTAACAATAACAATATTTAGATTAATCTGACCCACCTCGAATGTGAGTGTCTCGTCAAACACAGGACAGTTTGTTTTCTTGCGCACTTTGGTCCGCCGTGTCTCCATCCGTCCGTTGGTGAAGTGCACAGCAATGGTTGCGAACGGGTCGCAGCAGCCGTTACTGAGCGTCAGGTCGCTACATTCACTCAGCCGCACACTGAGTCGCTCAACCCCAGCGTCTACCGTCTCCTCAAACTTTACCTCTAGGTGAGCCTTGCCCTGTCCACACAAACTACAGTGTCAGTATGTTGGGAAATATGAAACTGAATCTGAGCTATTTTAATGGAAAAACTAAGCATACGTCTCTTTATTTCAGAAGTTGGGGGACCGAGCAGGTTATGGTTAATTGGGTTTAATCGTTTCCTTCTGCTGGATTTTGAGATATATATTGCAGACAGACAAACAGACTTCGCTCGTATTAGAGTATAGGACTGTATCATTTTGTAATATTGTCCTGAGAAGATAGGTTTAGGGATCAACAACAAAAATAATCAATAACAAAAACTGAACAATATTTAGTGAATTCACAATGTGTAACTTAATTTTCTCAGCTTATTAGATTGCTTACGTTAGAGTTTTAAAAATGTTTTCTCAAAAATTGTTTTCTTTACTAAAACTGTCTGCCACAGACTCTACTAGAATTGTTTGTAACCTCAACACTCTAATTTAGTCAGGCTCTCGACTTTTGACCATTGCTAATCACTATATTCTCCTAGACAGTGGACCACACTGACAGAAAAGTGTGACCAGAAAGTCTATTATTGTAGCCTACAGAAATTTGCAGATGATTTTGCAATGGGGGACCATGAAATGCAACATTATCGGGTCGAGAGTATTTATATGTCATTAGTTACCTGCACTTCAGTATTGGGGTTGACTGGTCTGATGGGGAACCAATGGTCCTTGTTGTGGTAGGTCTGTAGATCCTCTCGCTTGATTGCCACCTTGCCTACTACCTTGTCCGTCTTGTCCCTGTCGTACACGTAGACAGAGAGGTAGCGGAACCTGCGTGGCACACTGAACTGGAACTCCTCTCCGAAGAAGGGACTGTGGAAAAACACTCTTTCAGTACATGAACAAATAAAGGTTAATAAAAACTGTCAAATTTTACATTGTTGTGACCTGGCTGAGAAAAAGTTACTAAAATGAAGAATGTACTCTGGGAAATATCTGACCGAAAAAAAAGTATGGAGATGAGGTTATGGAACTAAGGAATCTGTTTAAACACCTGACAAAGTTGCTGAAGCACAACTGGACTGTGACTGAACTGGGAGCAATGAAGCTATAATCTAACAAACATGGAGGAAAAACTGTATTTTATAAATGCGCCCAGTATTCTCAGGACACCAAGTAAAAGGTGAAAATATGAAATAACATGGAAATGTTTAGGACTGAAAAAATTTTCTGAGTGAATAAGAAAGTAATTGATTGACATCACTATCACAATTAGTAATAAAGTCATAATCAAACTTGTACTACTACAGTATGTTGATATTTAAACCAAAAACTACATTCTTATAAAGAAATGTACTAAATAATAATGTATTAACCAATATCTGCGAGTTTGAAATAGTAAAGGGTATAATAAATTAAGATAAACTAAAATAGTAATAAATTTATAACAGGAAAACACTTCAGATCCATAACACTAGTTACAGTGAACGCATCTATCACATTGAACCATCAACCTGATTTTTTAACAAATTAGGAAACTTCTATTGACCGGGTAATTATTCTGTGCTGTTTCCCAGATATGAACCAAGCTTCCATTGTTCTGATGTGAACCGTTGCGTACGGATGAGACCCAGCCACCTGCCATAGACAAGCTGTTTACCTGTTTAATGTCTGTGCATTCCGTGATAATGAGTCAAACCATAACACATCTGCTGTATGCAGTTTTAACTGTACTCCTACTTTGCCAATAAAATACTTTGTTAAATTTTCAAGAACTTACAAAAAAAAAAACAATTAAATAGCCTAAGAAGTGTTGTTTTAATGTAATGACTTTTAATTATTATTTAAATACATAGGTCTACTCAAATTAATTAGTTTAACTTATAACCCAACTGAAAAAATTAATGCATTTATTTTCAACACCATACGGGTTTCTATTGAAAACATATATCAGAATAAGCTACCGTCGTTAAAACATATATCCTACATTAACAGCAAACGATAAACTAAATAAGAGTCTACTTTGTATAGTGTTGTTTACAATTCACTGAAGGTAATGTTACGTTGCACTAGAAATTTTGGTTTAAAAAAGTACCGTATGCTACAGTATTTAAAATAAAATAATTGTGTAAAAAACCTGCCTACAGGCAAACTGTGCATTCGAAAAAGTACATAACATTCATAATAATTTCCTTGCCAACAAGCTAGCTAAGCTATAAACAAAGGGATTTTTATCTAAAAGGGATGAAGGAGTCCTATATCTAGATAAAATAACAGTAGGCTTTTTATCATTTAAATGTAGGCCTATCTATTAATTTTTTTTCTTTCTATAATATCATTTGAAGTGCGATTGTGGGGAGGAGTCCATCTTCATCCTCGGCATTCAAATGACAGAAAAAGGCTGTAATATTAATAAAAAATCTGGATTGTACTCAAAGTTGTAGGGATAGTTTTAAAACGATTAAAAATGATGACATTGTCCTCTATTTTTATATACACAAACTTATTGCATGTAAAGGAAAACCAACTCTCTTTTAAGGACAGATCTTAAATAAATAAATACAATACCATACATAAGCAGAATCTAAATCTACCTCAAGTTAGGCTTAGTTAACAATCAATAGCTATCATTACAAGCAGATTCAGTTTTTCAATATATGTAATCTCAGCCTCATCGAGAGCTTTAAATTTCATCTCATTTAAGACAGCTCTCAAAAGATTTTTCCAAACATTATTTTTACTCCCCCAAAGAATTTATGATATTTGACTTTTCCGGTATTTATAAATCGTCTACGTTTTCATGCCTACCGCTAGTTTGGACCAATAACCTGTTTGTATTGGTTAAGATAAAAATGTTATTGCTTTATTTCTCTGTTCAATTATTTATTTAATGTCAATTTGTATTTGTTTGTATATTCTCCCAAACGTTATATCTTTGTGAGTCAGATATTGACATAGCCTATTGTACTATTATGTAATTGATTGCTGAATAAACAACTATTATGACTACTAACCCCTGAACTGTGAATATTTTTGTCTCCTTTCAAAATAATCCATATTAGCAACTGGCATCTTTATAATTCAGTCATGTAAACATAATGAGTATCATAAACAAAACTTATTCAAAGTGTAACTAAACTTCAATTTAGACCAACCTCAACTTAAAACAATTTTCAAAACGATATCGTCTAACTTAAACTTAGCAAATTCGTTTGAAAATTTGATCAGTTTTAATTCCATTCTAACACATCTGGACCAATTGCAAACACTGTAAAGTTGAGAATGAATTTAAAAGTGGACAATTTCTGTTTGTGAGGTTGGCAGTTGCGAGTGAATGGCAGCTTCATGAATGAACTCTGCTGTGAATGATAACAGCTGGGCTTGATAACAGGCCCAAACAATCACCTTATCTTGGACTGGCTATCAAATGTGTTTGTACAAGTGTATCACTTGCAGTATAATTAACTGTGCACCAGATAAACAGTATAATTAAACAGGGAAAATAACAGTTTAGGAGCAATATTGACGCAATTCATCTGTTCTGTTGTCATAACTCTTGGCATAAACAGAGCGACATAAAGTAAGAGGAGAAATGAGGGGATCTAGTAATAATGAGATGAGAACTCATTAACAAAAGAATACTTTAAGAATCCTTGTATCCTTGCATGGCCATTCGAGATGCCCCTTTGCGCATGCGCTATACAAAACTCCTGATGCAGTAGTCTCAAAAAATCGCTCAGCAAGCGGGCGTGGCGGACACTACCGCACGCCCGCGGTAGTGTGGTGTGACTTAGCACATTTGATAACATGGTGAACGATTTTTCAAAATTCGCTCCCGCCGCGGTAGCGAGCTTGGTGTTACCATCGATGTATAATAACTCCCTGGATTGCGCGCTCAGGTTGAAGTAGGGCTCGAAAAACAGTCCGCCGCTGCCTCGCTCTGTCCGTGAGGAGTGGGGATAAAGGCATGAGTCACCCTAGTGGCGAGCGTCACGCCCGCTCTCGCCGTGTATTGCTATGTTAGTTTTGTGGAAATAATTGATTGTAACAAACTTAAGGAGGTTTTATAGGCAGATATAATTAATCTACGTACCTGCTCACACTTATAGAGTATGTGTCAAAAGTAAATTTCATAAGAAATTTAGTGATGTTATGAAAGAGTTAGATTTATTAATATTTGAACATTAAACAGAGCAAAATATATCACAATAATTATTTGATCACGAAGCATCATCATTTGCCGCTGTGAGGCCCAATTACTAGGTGGCGTTCGCAGAGGCATCCACAAAATTGAGTGGAGTCATCAAGGGTTCATATTGTATTGTTTTTGTCACAGTGTAGTAAAAAAAAGTAGTTTTTAATGCATGCTTTGCGGGTCTAAAGTAGCATTTTTAATATTTAGGGAGTAAAAATCGTTTTCAGCCTCTATGGAGTAAAAATCCTCTGTTGTCAACTCAGTTGTAAATTTTGATTGTAAACGATTGCATGTATCGAAAATATGTATCGATTTGTCATTTTAACATACAGTCTACAGTCTCTTCCCATAGCATTTTACCATTGCAGATACAATATTAAGCCATTCCCAAACTCAACACTGCTCACCTTTACTACTTCCTGCACCACACCTTACGTCGTGGAAATGTTTCCCTCTCTTCCCATAGCATTTTAGGATTGCAGATACATTAATGCAATTGCCAAAGACAGTTCCCACACTCTGCACTGCTACCCTTACTACTTTCTTCACCATTTACTACGTCATAGACCTGTTTCCTTCCTTTCTCATAGCATTTAATTATTACTGATTCATTTGATCTAACTGCCCAAACGTTTCCCCACTCTGCACTGCCAGCCTTTACTACTTCCTTCACCACTTCCTACGTCGTGGGGCCTGTTTCCTTCCCTTCTCATAGCATTTTAGTATTGAAGATACATTCGTCTAACTGCCACAGACGGATCTCACACAATGCTGATGCTCATACTTTACTACTTCCTACGTCGTGGACCTGTATTCACCACGTTCCATGGCATTTTAGTATTTTAGATACGTTAATCTAGTTGGCAAAAACATTCCCACACTCCGTACTGCTAGCCTTTACTACTTCTTTCACTATTTCCTATGACGTGGGCATGCTTTCATCCCTTCTCATAGCATTTCAGCATTGCAGATACATTAAAACTGCCACACTCCGGACAGCTCGCCTTGACTATTTCCTTTACCACTTCCTACGTCAGGCACCTGTTTTCCTCCCTTCCCATAGCATTTTAGGATTGCAGATACCTTAATCTAATCGTCACAAACAGTTCCCACAATCCGGACTGCTTGCCTTTACTACTTCCTTCACCACTTCCTACGTCACGGACCTGTTTTCCTCCCTTCCCATAGAATTGTAGGAATGCAGATACCTTCATCTAATTGTCATAAACAGTTTCCACACTCCAGACTGTTCGCCTTTACTACTTCCTTCACCACATCCTACGTCGGGGACCTGTTTTCCTCCCTTCCCATAGCATTTTAGCATTGCAGATACCTTAATCTAATCGTCACAAACAGTTCCCACAGTCCGGAAAGCTCGCCTTGACTACTTCCTTCACCACTTCCTACGTCACGGACCTGTTTTTCTCCCTTCCCATAGAATTTTAGGAATGCAGATACCTTAATCTAATCGTCATAAACAGTTTCCACACTCCAGACTGCTCGCCTTTACTACTTCCTTCACCACTTCCTACGTCACGGACCGGTTTTCCTCCCTTCCCATAGCATTTTAGGAATGCAGATACCTCAATCTAATCGTCATAAACAGTTTCCACACTCCAGACTGCTCGCCTTTACTACTTCCTTCACCACTTCCTACGTCACGGACCGGTTTTCCTCCCTTCCCATAGAATTTTAGTAATGCAGATACCTTAATCTAATCGTCATAAACAGTTTCCACACTCCATACTCCTCACCTTTACTACTTCCTTCACCACTTCATACGTCACGGACCTCAAGCTAGTGTCGTCATTTGATTATAATTTATGATCCATACCGTTTCTGTTCTAATATCTGTGGAATAATGCTATCAGCTATTTCTTTATCTACTGCATTCAAAAGTCAACAGCTGATCATTTGTCTTTGTTTATGTGTCAAATACTGCTTCCATAAGGATTACATTGAAACTTTGAGAGCCAGTGGGGCGGATTCCTGAGAGACTTTTTTAACGCCATATAGATGTTGGCACTCACCGATATGGTCTTTATCACCATGCAAAAATTGAAAACGATTGATTCAGCCGTCTAGGAGGAGTTTGCGTATTACGAAATGCATAAAAGTCGACGTATAAGAGCTTCGCTCGCTCCGCTCAATTATTGAGATACTTTGCAACATTTAAGAATAGGCCTATATATTTTGTTTATAGTGTATGTTTCTTTGTCATACTGTGATTACCGGTAACGTGTTTGGAAAACATATTATGTTGCTAAATAAAATGAGTGTATAGTATTTAATGCCAATATCTCAAATGTATTGATTATTCTCACTGAAGTAAAATAATAACAAAATATTTTCTCAGGTATTAAATACTACTGTGTAATCCAACATTTATTCTTTGATCCAAAGAATTTAGTTAACTATAGACTACCGGTAAGAAGCATTAAAATGCATAAACTTACGCTTGTAAATTTAGTTACCACTCTTCGTAATGCAATGACATATTTTATGTAATAAAATTATAATTAAATGCTAGAAACGCAGTATCTAGATCCCGTAAACTGATGCTGAGCTGGCCGAGCTCCTAGCGCCAATGCCACGCTAAGCGATTTTATGCCTATTTTTAATCGCTTAAAATGATACAAGCAGACTCCGTATCAAAAAAAGCTTCAAATAAAAAATCAAATCCATACTTTGATCTAAAACTTTGCCGCAGGAATTTTTTTCCTGACCAAAAAATAAAAAAGTTCCTTGCTTACTACATTTTTCATGTTTTTTAATAGTTTTAAAAAACAATCATCAGTTTTAATTTTCCTAAATAAATTATAAAAATATGTCAAGGTAAAAACTAACTAGGCTACATAGTAATAAGCACTGGTTTTTCCAGAAAAATAATATATCAATTTGAAATTTTTATGTTAACAAATAAATGTAGCAGAGCAGGTTGAGTGAATGTATGTTTGTGAAAGAGAGGTTCATTCGGCCCGTCCGCCTCGGTATTCCGCCAATTCGATTGGCGGGCACGGACTGTTTTTCCACCACACAGCGCGCTATCCAGTAGAGTTATTATACATCGATGGGTGTGACTTGGCCTTAATGGTCGTCCCCTTCCACTCTCCTTTCGCCCTCGCCATCACTTATTACAGCGCTCACGCTAGGAAGAGCCTGTGCGCTAACTGCTGTTGTAAACAATAGCTGTTCTGGCTTGGTACCAGTATATTTCCGCCCAGGCCTGCTTTAATAAACGGGCTGATTGGGCATATACCCAGGTACCCCGGTGGTTTGAGGGCCCCTGCCGGGTGCCCCCTGACTATCACCCGCCCGCACTTGGAAAAAAAGGGGGGGCGCTGCTTTTGGGTTTGCCCAGGGCTCCATTGACCCTTAACGCGGCCCTGTTTCCGCCCTACCATTCCCGAGCTTAAAAAAGCGCACGGTTTTTCACAAGCATGTTTCCTCTATATCTCGCTTCTCTGTGTATAGCCTACTTGACCTGTTACGTAAAATGTCCCTGCCCTTCAGATAAACTAAACTTTTTAACAAAACCCCGGTTTATGATAGGCTACCTAATTATGGAAACATTGTAGCCTACTTGTACAATAGTTTTTGTAAATCATATTGGGACTACAGTAGTTTATTCACATTATACTACCAGTAAAGTATACTTACTTGAGAGTTTTTTCAATTGTTGAAGTTCTAAAGATTTCCTCCTGATCAAGCGAGAGGACGCAGAAAATATCTCGCAGATTGGCTGCATTTTGGTTGCGGCCGGGTAGGTTTTTGGCCTCACCTAAAATTAAATGATTTTTAGCATTAACCCTAGGAGTAGCGAGACCGATTTTCAGTAGCCTATGTGTTTTGTGGAGTGGCACGCTCATTTTGGTGAATTTGTAAGGGAGTTCTTCAAAAATCTGTATAAAATTAGTATGTAGAGATAAACTATTGAACCGTATATTCATTTTGTTCGTAATAGTCAGTAGAATTCAAAAATGGTAATACAAACCAATTTTAGGAAGGTAGATTTTTAGAAAAAAGTAAAAAAAAGAAAATTTATAAATTTATAAAATTTTATTTTAAAAGCAAACACGTGTCACATGTAACGTAATTTTTTATTTCACAATTCAAAATATGCATTTTGTTCAGAATTTGTTCCTTTACATAGACATATCATAATTTACACAAAAGAATTATTTTTATAGATTTACTAGCAATAATACGGAAAAATTGGAAAACGTCAATTTCTTCAACTAGGTACACGTTGATAGATCCACAAATGCCCTCTACTAATATATCAATATGATAAAACCATACTTTGTTTGAAGCCAATAATATAATTCTATATAAGAATAACTACGGTAAATAAGATAAGTAATAGAATATTTGGTTTTCACAAAAGCAAAAATTTAAACAAAACAACTGATCAGCTGTTATAGCCCACAAAACTTCACTAACTTTTTATCCTATTTTGGATCACACATGTATAAATATATATATGCAAAATAATGCATAAATATTTCGCCTAATACAAAATAATAAACTAAAACGAACATTACACTATAAAATTAGGGATAAACCCACACTTCGTCTTTGTTATCGGACAAAAACTCACGACGAC